GGCTAACGACCGTACCGAGCAATGTGCGGCTGCTTCGGGCTGTAGAAGCGTCGAAGACGTTCGCACCCGGGGGGGGGTCAGCTGTGAGCTTAGAAGTGCATGGGGGGACCGAGCGATGTGCGGCCGCTCCATGGAGATTCACAGGCGCGCGAGAACTGTGTCGCAGCGAGAGAGGACGCGCTCGAGGAGCTCCCTGGGGAGGTCGAGGAGGCGGACGGGCGGCGGCGTGCTTGGCGAGGGAGCGGCGGTGGCGGCGGAGGCGAGGCGGCGCGAGCGGCGGCGCGGTGGGGTGGACATCGCGAGGAAAAGACTATCCGGAGTGCACAAGTAAACTTAAAATCCCTGTGTGGTGGCGGCGTGCGTCCTCCCATCCCTCCCTTGGGTTGTCTGTTTTCTTTCTTTTTAAGTGCTCCAAGTACTCCCTCGCGACACTGGGCACGGGACGAAAAAAGAACTTCACACTTTTTTCAAAGATGAAAACAAGGAAAAGGAAACTGGTTCTTGAAGAGCTCTGGCGCGTGTAGGCGCGCGCGTCCCACCGTGTGCCGCCGCGCCGCGACCCGTGTGCGTGTGTGCTGCGCGGGCGCTCTCGGTTCTCAAGTACTACGCCTCGAGGGCCTGCAGCGTCTCGACGGTGTGGCAGGCGGCGACGAGCTTCCCTCCGGTGACGACGAGGGCAGCCACCCGTGGTGAGTGTTGTGTGTTGAGTGAGGGTGAGGGAAGGGCGGCCGCGTCTCGGTTGAGGGGTACGGGTCTGGGCTAGTGCTAGGGATGCGGGCCTCGACTCGGTTGAGCGAGTACGGGTCCGCCTCCTTGTCGCAGTGGTCCCCCCTGCCGCGGTACCCGAGCAGAACCTGGGGAGGGGGCTGGAGGAGCCACGGAGGAGGTGTGCGGGGGCGGGGGAGGGTGTGGGAAGGGAGGTGTGCCGGGAGGCGGACGGGGGGTGCTACGAGTTGCTGGAGGTGGTTCCTGCAGCGCGGCGGCGAACCCAGCCACCGTCACCTTGCCGTGCAGCCGGCAGCCTACTGTCTCAATACGTTTTCCACGTATTCCAAATGACCTCCCAGAGGCCTGTATTCTGCCGTATTCCACCCGTATTCCACGTATTCCATGGAATACGCCGTATTCCAAGCTCCCAAAATGGACGTATTCCGTATAAAATTTTCTTCGCTCCGCGAATTTTGTTGCGAATTCAGACAGTAGGGCCGGCAGAGAGAGGTTGCACTGGACGCAGTTCATCACCCCGAGCAAGTCGCGCGTGCGCAGCCGGATCTTCCACGGCGCGGCCTCCTCCGAGTCTGCGTGCTCGCGCAGCAGCGCCGCGGCGAGAGAGAGAGACGGCTCGGCGAGCGCGCAAGTTCTGCTAGTGACAAGAAAAACAACGCCCGCACATCGCGCACTGAGCTCGAACGTGCAAAAAGTCGTGCACTCCCTCCGCCCTTGCCCGCTCACCTCCGTTTCCTTTTTCTGCGATCCAACGCATGCCCTCTCACCTCCTAACGGCCGCGCTCCTCGCGCTCGGCCGCCCGCGACTGCCCGACTCCTCGCTCGTTCGCGGGAATACCGGCGGGCCGTCTGGCGCCTTGTCGACGGCGCGGCTCATCCAGCCGCACCGGGGTCCCTTTTTCGTGGGCAGCGCGCTGGCGCAGCGGGAGCTCAACGGAGCGCTCGGCTCGGCACCGCAGCGGGCGCGGGCCGAGGAGCGGATGCTGGAGGCTGCGCAACGCGCCTCCGAGAAGTTCCATGGCACCGACGCCGAGGCGGCGGCGTTGAGGCTCTCGCTGGAGGAGGCGCTCCTGGTGCCGTTGGCTCTTGCGGAGCCTACCGCGGACGAGGCGCTCTGGCCGTGGCAGGCGGCGATGGTTGCCATCACCGCGTGCTGGGGCGCCAACTTTGCGGTGACGTCCTGGTCCATGCAGGCGCTCGGAGGAGCGTCCACCGATGGCGAGCTGCTTGTCGCGGCCCGCTTCGTGGTTGGAGCCGTTGCGCTTCTTCCCTTCTTGGCCAGCGCCACCAGCGCGGCCGCGGTGGGTGCGGGGGTGCAGGTGGGACTCCTCTGCTCGCTCGGCTACGCCTCGCAGGCGGCGGCGCTGTCGCTGGGCACGCAGCCAGGTGCGGGGGACACTTCCGAGACACTTCCCACTGCCCTCGGCGCACTAGAGCCGGGCTACCGCCAGCCAGGCGCCCTCTGGCGTGCACAAGTGCCACCGAAGCCTTCGAGTCTGCACGCCCGCCCCACGCCCGCCTGCCCGCCTGCCTCCGCCTGATCCCCACACCGCCCACGACCCGCCAGGGACCGCCGCCTTCATCTGCAGCCTGCAGTCCGTCGTGGTGGCGCTGATGGCGGCGCGAAGCGGCGCCGGCGTCGCCCGAGCCACCTGGCTCGCCGTCGCCCTCTCGGTCGCGGGTGTCGCGTGCCTCGAGCTTCCCTCTGCCCTCAGCGGCGGCGGCGCCGCCTTCTGCGTGGGCGACCTGATCGCGCTCGGCCAGCCGGTCGGCTTCGGCCTGTCGTACGTCGTCCTCGAAGAGGCGATGGCCGACCACCCCGACGACGAACTCCCCATCGCCGCACTCCAGTGCGTCGTGATCGCCGTCGCCGCCGTCGCCGCCGCGTCCGTCGACTCGGGAGCAGCGCCGTGGTCCTTGCCGTGGGAGCACCTGCTGGCCGCCACCGCGGGAGGGGCTCCCGCGTGGGGCGTCCCCGCCGCGGTCGCGTACACCGGGCTCGTCTCGACGTCGCTCACGATCTGGCTCACGGCAAAGGTGTTTGCCAAGCTCCCCTCGACGGACGCATCCGTCATCCTCGCCTCGGAGCCTCTCTGGGCGACCGGGGTCGCGGTGGCGCTGCTCGGCGCGCCCGTCGGACCGAGCGATGCGGTGGGCGGAGCCCTCATTCTGGGCGGGCTCGCCTGCAACCAGGGCCTCCTCGACCGCTTCGTCCCCGGCTTGGCAGATGAGCTAGCCGAGCACACCGCCAGTCCGGGGGGGATGTCGAGGAGACGAGACGAGGCGCCGCCGGGGCCGGGCGTGGACGGCGCGAGAGAGCGAGACTGAGTGGTGCCCGGCTAGCCGCCCCTCGCCTCGACGAGGGCCGGCGCCGGTTGCGGGTTGGAGACTTGCGCCGTTCAGCGTGAATCATCATGTGATGACTGCCGATCGACGTGTGTCTGCGGTCTCTGTGTGTCCGACACTGCACACTGTGTGGTGCCGCCTGCCGCGTGTAGACGAGCCCGGGCAACGGGGCAAGGCTTTTGCCTTTTCGCTTTATTTATGTGATTATGTTAGTATGTATGTGAGTATGTCTCCTCGCACGTGACACGAGCGCCCTCTGCCTGACCAGCCACTCCGCACTCGACAAGAATCAAGATAAACGCGTCCCGCCCAGTTCAAGTGCACACACACACCGCAGAGCCCCCTTTCCCCCCGCCATGCCCATTACTGCTGAGATCACCGCGATACGGATCCATATCGCACACTGAACAGTACCACGAGAGCAGTTTCGCCGAGACGCCCGGTCTCCGCCGTTGCGCGTTTCCTCATCCGCTCGCTGGCGAGAAAAACGGGAGGCTGCCGCCTGCTCGGCCCTCACCTCCGCGATCGCTTTCCCGGCGAGCTCACCTTGGCGAGCGGCTTCTCGGCGTGCAGCAGCGCCGATGCGCCCAGCGGCTTGCGCGCCTCTAGCGGCCTCGCCTCGAGCTCGCCCTGCGGCCACTGGCCAGAGGTGGGTCAGCGCAGCCGGGCCAGGCAATCAGGCAGCGAGGCGGGGCTCGGCGGGAGGGGAGAGAAGGGTGGCCGCGCGCCTCTTCGTTGATGCTCCGCTCCACCAGCCCCGCGGCGCCGAGGAGCGCCGCAGGCAAGCCCGCCCCCTCCTCAAAGCTCCCTCTGGCGGAGGACTCTGAGAGGCGCGGAGAGACGTACCCATTGACAGGCTCCGAAGACTCGTCGGCGCTGCTGATCTGGCTGCTGGCGCGCTCGGGATCGGGCGGGAGGACGCGGCCGTTGCCAGTACGCGTCGGCGTGAGGCAGCCGCGGTACTGGCACGCCTGCTTCTTCACGCCCGGGCCGCCAAACTTTGGCTTGTCCTTGCAGTTTGGACAGCGCCCGCAGTCAGCACGTTTGCAGCCGTCGCACGTTCCTGCTCGGTGGCGGCGGCGGCGATCGGGCCGGTGGGCGTGGGCGCCTGTGCACTCGGGCCCCTCCTAGGCGGCCAAGGCTGTGGCCCACCGCGGAGCGCTTCTCGGCGGGGGGGGGGGGGCGGAGCCGACACGGGGGCAGAGCTGGCAACGCACCGCATCGCAGCGCTCTGTCCACCTTGTTGGCGCGGCTCTTGCTGGACGGCTTGACGGCCACCTCCAGCAGCGGCGACACCAGCGCACCCACCGTGTCGCCTCGCTCGCACTCGTCGATGGCTACACTCAACTGCGGCCGCGCAGAGGCGCAGAGCCCGGCGTCAGGGATCCCTATGACTCTGGCGCGGCGGGGCGCGGCGAGAACTGCGGGCGCCTGGTGCTGCGCCGTCAGCAGCACGCTCGGCCGGGCCGGCTCTCGCTTCGCGGCGCCGCCCAACAAGGGGGTGGCGCTCGGCCCGGCCGCGCCCGGATCGTCGCCACCAGAGGACTGGCTGAGCATGACGAGCAGTGCGGCCGCGTCGGACGCCTTGTCGGGGCTGCGGTCGAAGGAGCTGAGGCACTCGCCGCACTCGAGCGGGTCCGGCCCGAGGGCGGGGGCGAGGGCCATGGACAAGATTGGGGGCGAGGCGGCCGAGGCGGCCCCAGGCTCTGGACGGGCTCGCTTGTCAAACGAGGCGTGGACAAAATAAAAGGGGGGCTCTTACCTCTTACAATTTTGGCCCATGCGCGTGCTCTTCCGCTTGCTCGCCGCGCGCTCGGGAGCCGGAGTGGCGAGGTCGGAGCTGCTGCAACGGTGCGAGTGGCCGCGAGGGGTGGTGCTGGGGCTCTCCAGAGAACGAGGCCACGGCGCGGCGCTCGCGGCGGCGGGCGGGGCAGCTCCAATTGTTGGCGAGGCTCAACAGCAGCTTCAAGCAGTGCAGCGCAACGCCAGCTACCTCTCCAGAGCTGCGCGGCGGCTGGCGGGCCTGTGTGAAGATGCCGGGCCGCGTGCTCGGAGCGCGCAGTCGGCCCGCCTGCCTGCGGCCGAGTCAGTCTGGCTGGCGATAAGCGCCAAGGCCTTCCCTGCATTCTGGGCGACGCCCAACTGTGCGCAATGCGATTGCTGCGCCGGTGGGCGGCCTCGATGCGGAGCGCCGCGCGCGGGGCGGGAGGCTCCAGTGGCGCGGTCGTTGGTCAACGCCGCGGCGCGCGCGCACCGCGGGCGCTGCTCAACGATCGAGAAGCATGGGCGGGCGATTTGTCGCTCTCCGGCGCCCAACTTTGACTATCGATTACCGCCGGTTATTATAACCGGTGGGAGATCGTTTCTGCAGACGGAGGGATTCAACGCGGCGATAACTGCCCGAGACGTCCCTAACCTTTATTTATTTCTGCCCTGCTTCAGGAATCGGGGGCTCACTTCTTTCTTGCTTTGTGCAGGACGCAGGTCCTACCTTTGGGGACACGTAATTCCATCTATATGGTGGTGTCCCCCCCCCTTCACTCTTCCTTCCTCTTCTCCCTCT